ATGACTAGAAATTTGATAAAATGGATCTAATTTTTGAATCATATTTTTAAAAGCTTTATCTTCTACTACTTTAAATGGTTTAAGAGTTAAAATTATTCATTCAAAAATTGCTTAGGTTTTTTCTATTTGAATTTCTGATGAATATTTTTTAATTACAAAATTTAATTGTTCTTTGTTTAATAATACTTTATGTTGTATTTGTAAATATGAATGAATATTGCTAGTTGCTGTTATTAATACAAATATTTTAGAATAATATGAACATTTGCGAGTTTGCTTATCTACATATTTCCAAATATCTGATTCACTTCTACTAACTAAATTAAGTTTTTGTGATAATTCTAAATTTTTATTTAAAACTTCTTCATTTATTGCAATAATTTCTTCAAAACTTAAATCTTCTATACCTTGTATAATTTTTTCAGTATCTTGTTTAATTTCAATATTATCATTATTTAGATCACTAATATAAACATTATTATTAAGTTGTATTTGTAAATTTTCTTCTTCACTACATTCTTCAGGTGTATTATATGAATTATTTGAACTGGTAGACATTTTTAAAAAATAATAAATAAATAAAAATATATAAAATAGAATATATATGATAAATAAAATAATAATAAGATAAAATATTATATAAATAATAATTATAATATAAAGATTATAATTTTATAACTTAACAGAAGATAATAGTATACATTATATAATATATTAAAAAGAATTTAATAAGATTTTATTAAAAGAGTTATAATAATAAAATTAATATAAAAATTTAATTATATAAAAGAAAAATCAAAGTCTAAATCATTACAAGGAAAAAACAAGACATTTTGTACTTGTTTTCAAGATTAAAGACTTACAAAATTTGAATATTTATAATTTGATACTAATCTACTTTAATGAATTCAATGTGAAAATAAATGAAAACATGAGATAAAATAAAATATCATGATGTAACATTAGATTATTCACATGGAAATTACTGTAAGCAGTTGAATTTGAGTTGTGTAGCTTAATACTGGCTGCCTATATAACACAAGCCAATCATTATAGCTGTTTTCAAAAAGTGTAAATAAACACAAATAACTATATTACAGGAAATTCATGAAATTACCCAAATTCCTAAAACTTTTAAGGCCAGTTCTAATTAGAACTTTAATTTTTACTTACGATATTTTCTAATTTTTTGATTTTTCACAAAGCTATGTAGAAATCATTGTTCACAACTTTTGAAAACAGCAGTAATATGAATATGTTATATTAACATTTAGTTGTTATAATATGAAAATAGTAAATTACTTTAAAAAAGGAATAGGTTGCAAATTAAGATCTTATAGAGCAATTAGAATATGACTATACTTCCCTTAAAACCATTTTTATTCATCCAGTATCCTTTATTTTATTAGAGTTAATGTATGAGAAAATTATTTGAAATCATAATTGCCTCTATATTCTTGATTCATTATTATTGTTATATGTTGAAAAGCATTTGAAATCACATTCGCTCCTGTAATATTGATTGTGCTAGATTGGATCTGCCTTCTACTATTTTCACAGATACATTTGAGTTAAAATCCAGATTTGAAATTATATATAGATATAAATTTTTTTTACAGCTGTTTTTATAAATTCTGAGACAGCTAATAAATATAATTTCATCTGAATTCAGTAAATTCTTGAATTCAATATTATCAGTATTGAATTTTCAGTATTACAATAATTTCAATAACACTAAATTTAAAAACTTATTAAATTTGGCTGAATAATCAACTGTTAATTTTTTATTATTGTCTCAGAATTTGAGAACAGCTGTAAAAGTATAATCTGGATTAATCTGGATAAATTTGGATATATTATATATCTGAATTTACATTTATATTCAGATTTATGTTTCAGATTTATATTTATATCCTGCTTTATAATTACATCCAGATTTATAGTTATATCTGAATATAATGATATGCGAATTCAGTAATAAATTTGTAATAATTATATACAGTATAAATATGTTTCTTTTATTAAAATAAAATCAAATATAGCCTATATATGAATGCTAATAAAATAAAATTTATTATTATTTATTAAAACTGAGTATACTATTATACCATTGCAATATATTAACTAGATTTTAAATTTTAAACTATATCTGGATTTTGGAGTATATCCAGATTTAAATTACTGTACAGCGTGAACTAAAATACTCAGAGTACTTTACAATTTAAGCAGTATATATGGGTATTATAGTCAGAGGGATACTATGATCAGCGTGGGAGTATAAGTGCACTATATGAGTGCCACAGTAATATTTGAATATTTGTAATCAAACTAAAACTCTGATAATAAGTTTTTAAATTGATCCTGCTATGCTTTCTCACATTTTTAGCATTAGTTTTAACAACTAATAATGCCTAAAAACAGTAAAAGTTTTAAAAGAGCACATGTTACTGCAAAGGTATGCTGCTCTTGGACTGCCCGAGAAAAGTTACTTATTGTTTATTATGCTGAAAGTCACGAAATATCAGCAAAACTGCAAGAAGATTTGACATTCAACCAAAACAAGTCTGTGAATAGAAAAGTCAAAAACAGCAGTTACAATCTGTTGCTTCATTTGTTCAAAAACTTCATGCAGGTAGAGGATCATACCTACTACATTTAGAAAATAAGTTATATGACTGGATTATGAGTTTGCAAAACAATGCCCAAGCTGTTACTAGAAGAAATATAACAATAAAAGCCAAATCTTTAGCTAAAAATCAGCAATATCGAGATTTATATCCACAAATTCAAAAATTTTAATTTTCTAATAAGTGACTTGATGGTTTTATGAATAGAAAAAAACTTTCTAATCGTCAACATACTAATATAACTTAGCATTTGCCAGAGAAATTAAATAAAAAATAACAAAACTTTTTAAGTTTCATATTAAATTGTCGAATTTAATACAATTATGAATTAGAGTTTATTGGAAATATGGATGAAGTCCTTGTGTGTTTTAAGCTTCCATATAGTACACTCTTGATCATACTAGTACATATAAAATTAGTATTCAGACAGGCGGTTATGAAAAAACCAGTTTTATTGTTGTACTCTCATGCATGACAAATGGTAGAAAATTGCTCCCGTTATGTATTTTTAAATTAAAAAATAAACCACATGAGCATTTTCCTTTGGATATAAAAATTCAATGCAACCAAAAAGAATATATAAACGAAGAAATGATGCTATGGTGGATTGAACATATCTGGATGATCAGAAATATGCTTGGAAATCCAAGATCTCTTTTAATAATGAATTCTTTTCAAGAACACTTAGTAGATCCAGTAAAAAATTGTCTTACAGAAAAAGCAACGAATATTGCTATTATTTCAGGAGGGCTTACTTCAAGAGTTTAGCCATTGAATGTTGCAATCAATAAGAGCTTTAAGACAAAAGTAAGATTATATTAATTTTTTTTTATTTTAAATTTTAATTAATAAAAAAAAATAATTATTTAGATTCATGAATATTATAATAATTGGGCAAATCATAATAATGCAGAATATACTGCAGCAGGTCGACTTAAAAAACCTAGCTATGCTACATTGGCAGAATAGATAACAAATGCATGGTCAAGTGTAGATTCAGGTTTAGTAGCTCATTCATTCAAATGTTGTAGTATTTCACTCACTAGAGATGGATCTGAAAATGATCAAATCTTTGATTATGATCATTTATTTGATCCTAATAATAACAATGCTGCAGATGAAGGTTTTAGAAGACAAGAAAATATTTTTGAAAATGATGATCTTGGCTTTAATGAAGAATTAAATTACAATGAAAAACCAGAATATGATGTCAAATAGGATTAAAAATATAATAAAAAAATAAAAAAAATGATACAATTATGTTAGTATATACAATTATGCAGTGTTGTATGTACATACATTTTGATAATCAGGTTTTTTTTATTTCAATAATTAAATAAATTGCAATGAGCTTTATTTTTTCATTAAAAAATTAAATTATTAAAAATTACAACTGAAAATTATTTTAATTGTAATGCGCGATTTATACATTTTGATAAATAAAATTTTGCAACTCTAAAATATCTATAATAATAAATGATCTCTAAATAAAAAAAGTTTTATAAAGTATAGCTACTCATATTTTTATAAAAAAAGTTTAAGATATATAGGTGAATACTATATATCAAGGTATATTATATATTCTAAGTGCAATTAATCATCTTTAGTACCAGAGTATTTTACTATGCATTCCCAAGTGCAATTAATCAGTCCTTAGTACCTGGGTATTTTACTGTACATTCCCAAGTGCAATTAACTGATCCTTAGTACCCGGGTATTTTACTGTACATTTCCAAGTGCAATTAACCATTCTTTAGTACTCAGATATACTTTACATTCCAAGTGCTATTATTTTCAATTTATCTATCTCTAATATCCCAGGTACAATACATTCTAGGCTACTGAAAATCATGAAGGGTATTATAAAAGAGGGGTCTTTTAGTCCATGCTGTATAGTACATTCAGGTTTACAGCTATTATCATAATTTCTGGAACACCTACTTATTACCCGAAATCTTTTTGGTTATTCAGTAAATTACCTAACTTTCCGGAAATTATATCACTGCCTCTAGACTAAAGGTCTGAAGACAGTAATGTAATTTCTGAAGCATTAGGTAATTTACCAAATGACCAAAAAGATTTCAGGTATTTTGATCTATTGACTTTTATCAACTTGAATGAATACCTTCACATTGTATTCAGAATCAGGCAATCTGTGATCATAA